TTTTTTTTAACGTTTATTTATTTTTGAGACAGAGAGAGACAGAGCATGAACGGGAGAGGGTCAGAGAGAGGGAGACACAGAATCTGAAACAGGCTCCAGGCTCTGAGCTGTCAGTACAGAGCCCGACGCGGGGCTCGAACTCACAGACCGCGAGATCTTGACCTGAGCCGAAGTCGGCCACTTAACCGACTGAGCCACCCAGGCGCCCCTGACACTGGTTTCTTCTTAGCTCTGAAGTGCCCGTGCAGCAGCAGCTACAGCCCCTGTGCCAACCCCTGCCCAGCCACCTGCCTCAGCCTGACGGCCCCCAGAGACTGCCCAGCAGCACTGCCCTGTACGGAGGGCTGTGAGTGCCAGAAAGGTCACATCCTGAGTGGAACCTCCTGTGTGCCCCTCAGCCAGTGCGGCTGCGTCGACCAGGAGGGCTACTACCACCCGGTGAGAGGCCGGATCGCAGCGCCACATGTTTGGGGAGCAGGAGGCCTCAGAGCCTGTGAAGGGGTAAGGCGGCGGGGCCAGTGCTAGGGGCTGAGCAGCAAGCCCAGAAGCCCGAAGGCTGAGAAAGTCTGGGGATGGAGGCAAGCAGCCAAGGGGAGCGAGCCGGAGGGGGCGCCCGGGGTAGAGGGTTCGATCCAACTCTGGCTTCCAAACCTCCATGGACTCTGCTGACGCCCACATCCCACAGGTCGGGGAGAGATGGTACGCGGACCACACCTGTTCCAGGCTCTGCACCTGCTCCATTCGTAACGCCACCTCCTGCCAGCAGGCCGCCTGCAAGCCTGGCCAGATGTGCTGGCCCCTGGATGGGCTGCTACGCTGCCGGGCTTCAGGTAGAAGGCCCTTGAGCACACAGGAGGATCCCGGTGTCACTGAGACTGCTGTCCCCAACTCCTCCTCACCCTCTCCCATCATCTATAGCTCTTGGGCTCCTATGTCCGGGGTCCCAAAGAACTTCTGACTGGAAATGATGACCCTTGTGCCTTTGGAAAGGGCTCCTCGTGTTCACTCATGGCTGTCCCGGCCGTGAACTTAGATGGGACATTGTGAGTCCCATTATGATGCCACATTCTCTGGCAGAATAGCGCCCCTTCCACCCCCAAGCCTCATCCTAGCCTGGCCACCGAGCCTTTATTTCTCTTCTCCCCTCCCTGTGGGGCCTCCTTCACCTTCAGCTCTCCTCACAGATGGGGAGAGCACTTGTTCTCGGAGAGGCTGGACCACTCCTCAGCAACCCGTCTCTCTCTGCCAGGTATGGGAGTGTGCCGTACCTCAAACCACTCTCAGTACCTGAGCTTCGATGGCACTTACCACACCATCAGGGACACCTGCACTGGTATCCTGGTGAAAGTGTGCCACCCCACCATGGACCTGCCTTTCTTCAAGATCAGCGTCAAGTATGGGAAGAAGAGAGGCCAGTCCGCTGTTTCCTACCTCCACCAGGTCAACGTTGACTTCTTTAATACCCTCATTACCTTGATAAAGGACCACCGTGTGCTGGTGAGCTGGGTGGTGTGGGGGGGAAGGGAGGAGGCCAGCTCTGGGGAGCGGGCTCAGGTCCCTCTTCCCACTCACCTGCCCTGCCCTCTTCTGTAGATCAACGGCACACAGGTCACCTTTCCCTTCGCCACCGAGATCCGAGGGCTCAGAATCAGTATTGTTGGCAACAGCACCGTACTCTATTTTAACACCGGGGTGGGGCGCCTGGGTGGCGCAGTCGGTTAAGCGTCCGACTTCAGCCAGGTCACGATCTCGCGGTCCGTGAGTTCGAGCCCCGCGTCGGGCTCTGGGCTGATGGCTCGGAGCCTGGAGCCTGTTTCCGATTCTGTGTCTCCCTCTCTCTCTGCCCCTCCCCCTCTCTCTGCCCCTCCCCTGTTCATGCTCTGTCTCTCTCTGTCCCAAAAATAAATAAACGTTGAAAAAAAAAAATTTTTAACACCGGGGTCCAGGTCAAGTTTGACGGCAAAGATTTCTTTGAGGTCCAGCTCCCTGCAGCCTATTACCAAAAGGTGGGGGAATCCCCTGGCTCTTCTCTAGGGGAGTCTGTCTCAAGAGGGCCGAGCCCTCTCCAGACCTAACTGGTCACTCCCCAGAATGGAGGAGGGCTGGGAGTGCGCCTGTTTCTTAGGAGTGGAAATGCGGGCCCATGCCATATGAAAAAGTCTCCTTTTTCTTTCTTTCTTTCTTTCTTTCTTTCTTTCTTTCTTTCTTTCTTT